TTTGATTAATAATTAATGTTTTTCCTTTTTCTTGTTCCGAATTACCATTTATGGTTATATCTTTTCTCCCTTTCCATTTTTATTTTAATAAATTTGTTTGTTTTTATAACATTAATCAAATTTTGTACCTCAATGAAGGTCTCCTATTTTGAGGTTGTCCCATGGTAAATGTATGGCAGTACAGGGTTAACCTTGGGTCATCACAGCTTTGTAAACAGGCACAAAGTCCTGCTGAAATCCATATGGCCTTCCATTACATGCAAGGTCTATCTAGGGTTTCACAACTATTTCCAGCACCTCAATGTAGCCAGCAGCATTCACTTGAAGACCCTGTTTAAAGAAGTGAGGTGGTATGGTGTGTCCTTCACTACACCTTACCACCTATAAAACCATTACAGAAGCAGGAAAATTGGGGTAAATGACTTATTGGGTGGGGGGATATCAAAAGAATCTGCCGATAATCACGTGTCATTTTTCCAGTACACTTTTCAATCCCGGTTGAAATTATTTTTTGTCTAAAAAAAAAAAAAAAGAATCAGAGCATTAGGTTCTTCAAGATGTTCCCACTTATTCAGTAACTGTTTTGCTCAGCCATTGTTCTTGTGTGTGTTGTACCAAATGTCATCCACCACATTGCAGATTGTGCCCTTTGACACCTAAAGATTCATGTCAATAATGTTCTGTACCAACTGTACAAATTGTCCTGATACTGTTTGAATGCTTTCTGTACTATGCTACAGGCTTCCAACTCCTTCTGAACTTTGTATCCAAATGACTTCCAAAAAACATGCAATCTCAACGCTGTTGTGCTTTGCGTGTATCACAACAATTACAGCATGCAATTTCATATCTGGCATTAGCTGATAGTTTGCCATTGATGTTCTGAAAAGATAAAAGCACATTAATTGTTTATCATATAACTGCATGCAATCACATGTTCTCAAATAGTTTATGCACTCTGTATAGTCTAGATTTCTTGACTCCTGGCTTACATCTGTTTTTGCCAATTAAAGATGGATTAGATGAACAATACAGCATCAAGGCGATATAACTCATTAACCTGAAGGAGAAATCCATCTAAGAGAATAAAATATGATTTTAAACCTCTGCTACCTTGCAGGAAATTGATTGATTTGTTTATTTTTTATGACTTATCAACCCCTTGTGGATTATTTAAAGCCAAAACATATTTTGGTTTGTAATAATAATTTTTCTTTTTTACAGATGAACAATTTTTTTTTTACACTATTCACATTATTCGGACTATTGTCCTCATCTCTGTCACCATATTTATTACAATGTTTCGTCCTTTCAGTCTCTGCCTATATTTCTGAGATGAGGTATTATGTACACTATTTACATTATTCGAACTATTGTCCTCATCTTTGTTGCCATATTTATTACAATGTTTTGGCCGTTGTACACTCCAGCCTTCTTCAGGTGGTTGTAATGTCAAATTGAACTGTTTATTTCACACACCGGGGTAGACTGTTCTACTTCCACATGCCATGTTTAATGGATGTCAGTTATCAGTTATCTCCTGTTAATTCCCCTCTCCAAGTTCTCCACTGCTTTAACTGGGTATTGAACTCACACTCTTTGGGTCCTGTCACTGGATCTAACCAACGAAACAGTCATTTTTTTCTAGACTCAATGAATTACTTAATTATAATTATCTCAAATCCTCCCAATAATTTCTATCACACACACACACACACACACACACACACACATATATATATATATATATATATATATATATATATATATATATATATATATAGGAAGAATTCTTCAACCAAACAAGTTTTATTAAATTCAACCAGCAAGTTCTATTTAATTTTTTGTTGTATTTTCCAATTTCTGAATGGGATGTTTACATCGGGATTAAAATTATGAATAAACTGTTCAAAGTTTTGCTTTTTTTTTTCCTTGATTTGTTCAAATACTTTGGACTATCTCAGTCATTATCAAGAACTGGGTGTTGTCAGTATGCTAGAAATTATGTCATATATAACAATTAAATGGAAAAGTGCATATCAAATATTTGTGATGTTATTTTTGCATGCATATCACATATTTTGTAAACACTTCAATATATCAATGTAATAAAAAAAATTAGTCTTTGTTGACTGAAATTCAACGAAACTTTATATATATATATATATATATATATATATATATATATATATATATATATATATATATATATATATTTATATGTGATACATAGGCACACAGTCAAGTGGTTAGAGAATTAATGTTCCACTCATAATATAATCTATATTATTATTAATGCTATATTATGCTCTATATTATATACTTTATTATGTATTATTATATATATCTATATTATTATAATATATATTTCTATATGTGTGTGTAATATATAGGCACATGGTCAAGTGATTAGAATATTATTGTCCTATCCATAATACATCTAAATTATTATTATATATTGTTATTACTGCTATTTTATGCTATATATTATGAATTTTATTATTGTTATTATATATATATATATATATATATATATATATATATATATATATATAGATGTGTTTGTGTTATATGTCCAAATGGTTAGAGCATTAGTGTCCCGACCATAAAACCTAATTTAAAATCTCGCCCTGATGAATTTATTATGGAGTTGATTTCTTGATAAAATCGATATGGACAAATGATCCCAGCACATGGTATTACTGAAAAGTGCCTGGAAAACCATATTAACATTGTGAGTGAAATTGGGTTGGCAAAACTGTTCAGAGGCCCTTTATGACTGTGCTAGCATGAAATCACGAGTCATCATGACTGAGAGTTTGGACATTCAAGCCTTGTTCACCTGTTGATTATACCAGATTATGTGCTCTCTCCCAGAAACACTAACTAAGGTCTGCACAGCAGAGTTGCATTATAAACAACAGGTTGACTCTACAGGTGTTGAAGAAAATATAAATATGTCCTGGTAGATTCCATCGTCTCCTGAGACTGATAGATGCCTGCTACTTGGCATTGAATTTAAGTCATGTATTCTTCTCATAACAAAGGAACTGCTAACAACAATGGTTTATTGTGTTATATTATTAATCTGTCAGATTAAAAAAAAATTAATTCTAAAAATTTTCATTGTTTACATTTGGATACAAAACTGTGTGGAGATATGAAAAACTTAAAGGGATTCATTACCGAAGAAATTTCACTTAAACGCATGAAATTGGCTTCACCTGACCAACTGCTCTTCATGACCAAGCCTGCAAGGTAGATTAAAGCTATACTCTGGCTCTGTCTGCCCTGAAGAACACAGGTTCAATTCCTGCCAAAGAGTGCAAATTTTTCTTCAAGAGTATTTCTCATTCAGGCCAGTAGGTGAAAACATATAAATATGCTGTTTAATAAATAAACAGATCACCTACCCAAATACAAGTATCCACTAAAAATAATGTTTAAAATGATAAAAATTATTATTATATCAAAACATCTCTGGTATGGGGTATGAGGGAAATAATTTTGATTACATATTTTATTTTTTAAATCTCGAAGAAATTACTAGATTTAGTAGCAGTCAGATAAAAAAATTTTAGTTTAGCACCTTTGACTTTTCTAGATGCTGTATTGGTGATTTTCACTTTGAGTCTTTCAACAAATTTTAGAAAACAATACCAATATATTTTTGCAATGAATGGTGTAGTGGTTATCTTACAACAATGTTCATTCCCACACTATATCTATTATGAGTTTGAGTTGGCCTTGTATAAAGACTGCATGAGAATATACAGTGTTAATATATACAAAATAAATGAAAAACAAGAAAATAAACAGGCAATTTCTTCTATCTCCTCATGAGTTGATGGAGTCATTGCTGAAGGGTTTGTCTATGAAATTCTTGAGTTGGGATGTTGAAGGTAACACCAATTAGCTAGCTGACAAACTTTATATTAATTCTAAGACAATATATATACATCCTGGTACATACATACATACACACATAAATTAAAATAAAATTTAAAAAAATAAATGTATGTTTTAATGCCAATACAGGACTATATGTATGCCTAAGGTCACCAATGGGTGGTTGGAGGAGGTTGAATGTTTATCAAAGACTGTACCAGTTACACATGTATATTTCAGATCTGTGTGTTATAATGACCATATCATCAGAGAATGGATAAAATAAATTCAATGTGAAGTGCCATCTTGTTATATATATAGATCCACCTCAAAAGTGCTGCTTTGCTTCTCATTAGCTCAAGATTAGTGACCTTATATTCTGGTTGAGAGAAGCTCTTGTTTCTAATTCACTCACTACATTATGATGTTTATAGCCTGGTCAGGACAGTTTTTGATTGGTTGATTGAAATATGACTTGTTGGTCTTGTGATTCTGAACATACATCTATTTTTAGAAATGATGAAATTTTGATCTCCTTGTTATTATTTGTTTATTTTTATTTATTTATTTTTCTATCTCTACAAGTGAATGAGATACAGTATTTACATTAGTCGGACTATTGTCCTCATCTTTGTCGCCATATTTGTCACAACGTTTCGGCCGTTGTACGCTCCGGCCTTCTTCAGGTGGTTGGAATTTCGAACTGAACCCTTTATTTCGATCACTGGGGTAGACTGTTCTAATTCCACGTGCCATGTTTGATGGATGTCAGTTATCAGTTATCTCCTGCTAATTTTCCCTCTGAAAGTTCTCCACTGCCTTAACCAGGAATTGAACTCACCTTCTTTGGGTCTGTCACTGGATCTAACCAACGCCTTTATCCACTGTGCCAGAAATATAGACAAACTCTGAAGTGAATGAGATTTTATAGGTTTTGATTTTTTTACTTTTGTCAAGGAATGTTCTTGCAGTACAGCATTCTGTATAAAGAAACCTTCTCCACTTAATGAAGCACAAATTTGTTTTTTTTTTCCCCCATCTTTTTTTGCTAACCTTGTCTACCCTTGCTTTCCTCTTTTATTGTTTATTTTTTACTTTTTGATATTTTTCAGGTGCTTCTCTTCAAAATTCCAGCCTCTATAAATCCACGGTCCACAACAATAGCTGGAATGTCCCAACCACAAGTGCAACCACTACACCCAAAATCCTGTCCACATCATCATATACAAGTTACACAAGCATGAAAAGTGGTTCTGGGAGTTTAATGCCTCGTGCCAGTGCTGACAGCTCCCTGCAAGACCTGCCAGTTATTGTTGCTGGGAGCCTCACAGCTGGACTTGTTTTCATCTTTCTTTTGAGTGTCCTTATCTATCACTGTGTAAAGAACAAGAAGAAAAGACAAAAGGAACAAAACTATAGTAAGTAAAAGAATTTCTCTATTTCTTGTGAAAATGATATGAAAATAGTAACTTAAAAAAAAAAAAAATTCACTTGTCTTTTTCTTCATATTTGACAACCTAGTGTCCTGAGACAATGGAAAAGTTTAGACATGAAATTACAATATCCCTAAAATAAGTCTTGAAAATATCTCTTGTACTCTTTCAGACAGAGTTTTTATCCTGGGTATGACAATAAACTCCATCCAGCAGCAAGGCCTCTTTAACTGCCATTCTAGGTTCACCCTAAGCTATGGACAAATAGTGAACCTCAAAATCAACAGGGTATTTTTATAGCAAATTAACAATCAATACGACATTAAAAAAATATAAAAATACGTTTTTATAGTAAAATTACCAGCAATAGATTTTTGAACTGAAATTACCAGCAATACATTTTCTAAAATTTACCAACAATATATTTTATCATGTACAAACTATATATCTAAAAAGAAAGATTTATTTATTCTAAAAGTATAAAATTATTGACAAAATATCTGTAGCTGAAGGCATGAAATTGCATATAAAATATATTTTGGCATTAAATAACCCATAGAAGTATTGATATACCACTAAACAAAATCAACCAACTTAAATCAAAATGCTGAGAAATACAATATTATTAATTTATTGACTAATATTTCATTCATCTTAATTCTAGTTATTATAAGAATAATATCTCACAGTACCCATGAAAATCTCACGGTTTCCCTATCTGAATTTTAATAATATCTCACAGTACCCATGAAAATCTCACGGTTCCCTATCTGAATTTTAATAATATCTCACAGTATTTGAAAAATTAAAAATCTCGGTTTCCCTATCTCAAGGAAAAAAATCTCTCGGTTATCTGAATTTTTTAATAATATCTCAAGTACCCATGAAAAATCTCTCGGTTTTATCTAGTACCCATGAAAATTATCTGAATTTTAATAATATCTCACAGTACCCATGAAAATCTCGGTTTCCCTATCTGAATTTTTAATAATATCTCACAGTACCCCATGAAAATCTCTCGGTTTCCCTATCTGAATTTTAATAATATCTTACCAAAACGGTTTCCCTATCTGAATTTTAATAATAACAGTACCCATGAAAATCTCACGGTTTCCCTATTGAATTTTAATAATATCTCCACAGTACCCATGAAAATCTCGGTTTCCCTATACCATGAAAATCTCGGTTTCCCTATCTACGGTTTCCCTATCTGAATTTTAATAATATCTCACAGTACCATGAAAATCTCATATCTGAATTTTAAAATATCTAGTACCATGAAAATCTGTTTCCCTATCTGAATTTTAATAATATCTCAATACCCATGAAATCACGGTTTCCTATCTACATTGAATTTTAAAATATCTACAGTAATGAAAAATATATTTTATCACAGTACCCATGAAAATCTATACGGTTTCCCTATCTGAATTTTAAAATATCTCTCATGAAAATCTGCTGAAAATCTCATATCTGAATTTTAAAATATCTCACAGTATAAAATATCTGAATTTTTAATATCTCACAGTACCCATGAAAATCTCACGGTTTCCCTATCTGAATTTTAATAATATCCAGTACCATGAAAAACGGTTTCCCTATCTGAATTTTAATAATATCTCACAGTACCCAATCTGAAAAAATCTCACAGTACCCATGAAAATCTCACGGTTTCCCTATCTGAATTTTAATAATATCTCACAACCCATGAAAATCTACGGTTTTATCTGAATTTTAATAATATCTCACAGTACCCATGAACGGTTTCCCTATCTGAATTTTAATAATAAATGAAAATCTATGAAAATCTCTCGGTTTCCCTATCTGAATTTTAATAATATCTCACAGTACCATGAAAATCTCACGGTTTCCCTATCTGAATTTAATAATATAATAATATCCCATATGAAAATCTCACGGTTTCCCTATCTGAATTTTAATAATATCTCACATACCCATGAAAATCTCTCGTTTCCCTATCTGAATTTTAATAATATCTCACAGTACCCATGAAAACGGTTTCCCTATCTGAATTTTAATAATATCTCACAGTACCCATGAAAATCTCACGGTTTCCCTATCTGAATTTTAATAATATCTCACAGTACCCATGAAAATCTCACGGTTTCCCTATCTGAATTTTAATAATATCTTTGAAAATCTCTCGGTTTCCCTATCTGAATTTTTAATAATCTCACAGTACCCATGAAAATCTCACGGTTTCCCTATCTGAATTTTAATAATATCTCACAGTACCCATGAAAATCTCACGGTTTCCCTATCTGAATTTTAATAATATCTCACAGTACCCATGAAAATCTCACGGTTTCCCTATCTGAATTTTAATAATATCTCACAGTACCCATGAAAATCTCGGTTTCCCTTGAATTTTTTAATAATATCTCACAGTACCCATGAAAATCTCACGGTTTCCCTATCTGAATTTTTTAATATCTCACAGTACCCATGAAAATATGGTTTCCCTATCTGAATTTTAAAAATCTCACAGTACCCATGAAAATCTCACGTTTCCCTATCTGAATTTTTAATAATATCTCACAGTACCCATGAAAAATCTCACGGTTTCCCTATCTGAATTTTAATAATATCTCACAGTACCCATGAAAATCTCACGGTTTCCCTATCTGAATTTTAATAATATCTCACAGTACCCATGAAAATCTCGGTTTCCCTATCTGGTTCGGTTTCCCTATCTGAATTTTTAATAATATCTCACAGTACCCATGAAAATCTCCACGGTTTCCCTATCTGAATTTTAATAATATCTCACAGTACCCATGAAAATCTCACGGTTTCCCTATCTGAATTTTAATAAAAATCTGAATTTTAATAATATCTCACAGTACCCATGAAAATCTCACGGTTTCCCTATCTGAATTTTAATAATATCTCACAGTACCCATGAAAATCTCACGGTTTCTATCTGAATTTTAATAATATCTCACTGGTACCATGAAAATCTCACGGTTTCCCTATCTGAATTTTAATAATATCTTTAATTTTAATAATATCTCACAGTACCCATGAAAATCTCACGGTTTCCCTATCTGAATTTTAAAAATCTCACAGTACCCATGAAAATCTCACGGTTTCCCTATCTGAATTTTTAATAATGAAAATCTCATCTGGTTTCCCTATCTGAATTTTAAAAATCTCAGTACCCATGAAAATCTCACGGTTTCCCTATCCTGAAAATCTGAATTTTAATAATATCTCACAGTACCCATGAAAATCTCACGGTTTCCCTATCTGAATTTTAATAATATCTCACAGTTCCCTATCTGAAAATCTCATGAAAATCTCACGGTTTCCCTATCTGAATTTTAATAATATCTCACAGTACCCATGAAAAACGGTTTCTATCTGAATTTTAATAATATCTCCTTTTCTGGATCTATCTGAATTTTAATAATATCTCACAGTACCATGAAAACAGATGAATTTTAATAATATCCAGTACCCATTAATAATATCTCACAGTACCCATTCTCACGGTTTCTATCTGAATTTTTAATAATATCTCACAGTACCCATGAAAAATATCTGAATTTTAATAATCCACAGTACCAAGAAAATCTCACAGTTTCCCTGGATCTTAATAATATCTCACAGTACCAAGGCTCATTTTCTGGATCTTAATAATATCTCGTAGACAGATGTAATCCATCATTATCAGAATACCCCTCCACCAAAGGCCATTTGCTGACCATTTTCACCCTGACCTTCATATTCTGCAACAAATGAAGCTCATTATTTCAAGAAGTAAGAGGGTACAAATGAAAAGACACAAAATTGACAAGAACTTCCAGTTCACTGAAGCACACATGTATGATGATGTGTCCTCTTTCTATAATTTTTCATTTCGTTTTGAGATAAGTCTTTGTAAATTTCTGTTTTTTTAATTTATTCAAATTGTTCTTATTAATATTTTCAATGCATTGAAAAAATATGTTTATTCTCTTTTTTTTCTATCATTTAATATATATATTAAACTATAAACTTGAGAACACCCTCTGGATTTAATAATAAGTTTCATACCTTCTTTGGATTAATTAACCCCTATTAACTAGAATACATCAGTGTATGGCACCCAGTTTTGTAGAGAGGGGTTTACCTAAATTTTAAAATCTGGCAACACTAAGATTACCATTAGCCAGCAAGATAGATCAGGAAAAAAAAAACTCAAACTTTAATATAATTTGAGATAGAGTATATCATGTAAGTTTAAGCTTACCTTTTCTCATTAAAAATAATGAGAACTTGTTTTGTGGGTGTAAAGTTTTATTATGCAAATCAACCCAAATGCAATATAAACTTTTACTTATATTAATCAAAAAAGACATATGGTGTAAAAATATATTTGTAATTAACACAGAATCCCATATACTTGAATAAATTACACTATTATTATTTTACCTTTTAATGTGGGGGGCCTCCTGACTTTCTATAACCTTCTTTTGTCTTTGATAATTTTTTTTACTGTTTCAATATTAACATTAAGTGCATCAGATTTTGGTCTTCTTTGCTTCTTCTATTCTCATAACCATCTCTTGTAAAGATGGGTCACAATTTTCTCTTGAAATTCTATCTGGAGTGGTTGGAGAACATTCTCTTAAGATTAATAATGTGACTTCATTTACTGTACAGAAAGTTTATCTTTCTACTGAAAGTGACTCTGATCCTGAAATAATAGTGTGCTTGAATCTCATAGTTGTGCTATCATATCCTGCTATGGCAACACAAAACAATTTGAGTGAAATTAATTAACAATAAGGATACTGCAATTGAGA